TCTTGACTAGTCATTGTTGAATTTCTTTTATATAGTTAATATTTTAATTTAATTAAGAGTGTTCATTTTACAATATTATAATTTAATATATATATATATATATATACATATCATATATAATCATTATATGATAATCAAAATACAACATATTTATATTTAATTTTTTTAATAAATTTTATATAATTTCTATTTTTATATATTTTTATTTCCAAATGAATATAAAAGAAAAATTAAATAGTTAAAATTACTTTTAATTTTATATTACTAATTCTTATTCATATTTAACTATTACTTTTAGGACAATTCTTAGGTATGCCTGACATACCATATGCAAGGCATACATAATTCCTTATGCATTTTCATTGGTTGGGTTATATAAGTTTGTATTAGAACTTATACACTGTTGACTTGCTAAGCAGGTAAACTAACTTACAGGTAAACATATTAGAATAATAAATTATATTATATCCGTGTAAGTATTTTCATAAAAATACGTAAATTTTCACAAAAATAAGTAAATTTATTTTCAAAAATTTAGAACAACACAAAAATGCGCAAGTTTTCACAACTCGCGTAACTGATTTCAAAAAAATATGTAAGTTTTCACAAAAATGCGTAAGTCTGTTTCCAAATATTTAAAACGACACAAAATGCGTAAGTTTTCACAAATTAAGTAAGTGATTTCACTAAAATGCATAAGTAAACATAAAAACGCGTTAGTTTGTTTCCAAAATATTAAAACAATACAAAATACGTAAATTTTCACAAATCACGTAAGTAATTTCACAAAAACACCCAAGTGAACACAAAAATACGAAAATTTGTTTCAAAAAATATAGAACAACACAAATACGCGTAAACTTCACAAATCACATAAGTGATTTCATAAAAATGCGTAAGTTTTCACAAAAACATGTAAGTTTGTTCTCAAAAATGTAGAACAACACAAATACGCATAAGTTTTTACAAATCACATAAATAATTTCACAAAAATGCATAAGTTTGTTCCCAAAAATTTTGAAAAATACAAAATGTGTAATGCGTAAGTTTGTTTTTAAAAATTTAGAAAAAAAACAAATATGTGTAAGTTTTCACAAATCACGTAAGTGATTTCAAAAAAATGCGTAAGTTTTCATAAAAACATGTAAGTTTGTTCTCAAAATTTAGAACAACACAGATATGCATAAGTTTTCACAAATCACGTAAATGATTTCAACAAAATGCGTAAGTTTGCACAAAACTGAACAAGTCTGTTCCCAAAAATATAGAACAATATAAAATACATAAATTTTCACAAAAAATCACATAAGTGATTTCACAAAAATGAGTACGTGAACACAAAAAAGGGTAAGTTTGTTCTCAAAAATTTAGAACAATACAAAATACTTAAGTTTTCACAAATCATACAAATGATTTTACAGAAATGCGTAAGTGAAGAAAAAAAAATGCGTAAGTTTATTTCTAAAAATTTAGAACAACACTAATATGCTTAATTTTCACAAATCATGTAAGTGATTTCACAAAAATGCGAAAGTGGACACAAAAAATGTAAGTTTGTTCTCAAAAATTTAGAACAACACAACTATGCGTAAGTTTTCACAAATCAAATAAGTGATTTTATAAAAATGCATAAATTTTCACAAAAATAGAAAAGTTTGTTTCCAAAATTTTAGAACAATACAAAATGTTTTCACAAATGACCTACGTGATTTAACAAAAATGCATAAGTGAACACAAAACGCGTAAGTTTGTTCTAAAAAATTTAGAACAATACAAATATGCGTAAGTTTATACAAATCACGTAAGTGATTTCACAAAAATACACAAGTTTTTCCAAAAATGCGTAAGTTTGTTTTCAAAATTTAGAACAACACAAAATGTGTGAGTTTCACAAATCATGTAAGTGATTTTACAGAAATGCATAAGTGAACACAAAACAACAAAAGTTTGTTCTAAATCTGTTTTCAAAATTTTAGAATAACACAAAAATATGTAAATTTTCACAAATAACGTAAGTGATTTCCCAAAAATGCATAAGTGAACACAAATACGAGTAAATAATTGAAGAAAATTTTAATTTCACAAAAATACGTAAATTTTCATAACTCACTTAAGTGATTTTACAAAAATGCATAAGTGAACACAAATACGAGTAAGTTGTTGGAGAAAATTTTGATTTCACAAAAATGTGTAAGCTTTTACAATTTACGTAAGTGATTTCACAAAAATGTATAAGTTAACACAAAATTTGCGTAAGTTTGTTCTCAAAAATTTAGATCAACATAAAAATATATAAGTTTTCACAATTCAAATAAGTGATTTTACAAAAATATGTAAATGAACACAAATACGAATAAGTTTTTGGAGAAAACTTTGATTTCACAAAAATGCATAAGTTTTCACAACTCATATAAGTGATTTTACAAAAATGTGTAAGATAACACAAAATACGCATAAGTTTGTTTCCAAAAATTTAGAATAATACAAAAATGAGTAAATTTTCACAAATCACATAAATGATTTTACAAAAATGTATAAGTGAACACAAATGCGAGTAAGTCATTAGAGAAAACTTTGATTTCACAAAAATACGTAAATTTTTACAACTCACGTAAATGATTTCACAAAGATACATAAATAAACACAAATATGAGTAATTACTTGGAGAAAACTTTGATTTCACAAAAATGCGTAAATTTTCACAATTTCACGTAAGTTGTCTCACAAAAATGTGTAAATTAACACAAAATTCGCATAAGTTTGTTCCTAAAAATTTTGAACAACACAAAAATACATAAATTTTCAAAAAAATGCATAAGTAACCGGTTGAACAGGTAGCCTTATTTTAACATTAAAAAATTTAATGGTAAAAATCAATATATTTTAATCCAATGGCTATAAATAAGGCTGCATATAGGTTGCACACTTAAATACTACTCTCATTTTTAATATCAGAATGAGTATTTATTTTACTATTTTATAATTTAATATATAACATACAAAATTATTATATGATAATTACACTTTTATAATATGATAAAACTAAAATTATCAAAATATACAAATAATTTAACTAAAATTAATATATATACGTATTCAAATAACAATTTAAAGAACGATAATGTCAAAATTATCAAAATAAATAATTAAAATTAAAACTATTCTTTTATAACATATATCATATCATCAAATATTTTTTGAAAAAAAATAACACGTGCATTACATGGATCAACTATTAGTTGTACTTCATTAAAACGAAGGTTCCATTTAAAATAAAATAAAAAAGGTACTTTTTGAGTCCTTTACATGGCATTTTAAATGAAATTTTTTGAGATCTTAATTATTTTAAAAACAACAAATGGCGGCGCATTTTATAGTAAACAGAATCGCCGTACATATTCAGTGAAGTGGCAAATATGAAAGGCTAAAGATCACAAACTCCTCTATATAAGTACAATTCGGCTTAGATTTACATCTAAACACTCATATCCTTACTGAAACAAAAGAGCGAATAAGATTACGACTGAAACGAGTTTTGTCAAACGAGATTGCTAATTACAAAAACCTAACAAGGTCAATGATTGAAAAGATGAGAAAATGAATTTTGGCATTTTTGCACTGCAACATAGCAAAAATTTGGCGATGGCATCGAAAAGTTAGAAAATGGTTAACAATTTGACATGACATTGAAGTAGTCATCTTCACCGATTACCCAATATTTATAATACTTGCAAGTGTAATACTGAGCTTTGCATTCAATGAGGGTATTATACTCAGAACAAGCACTAAAATGCATTAAAAAAAAAAAAAAATAGCACAAGAAGAAGAAGCCATGGAGCTTAACAAAACCATGTAAAAATGCAACATGTTGTTGGAGGATCCAATCCATGCCTAGCTCTCTCGCACTTGCAGTCAAAACCAGCTTGACTAAGCCCACAATAAAAAACCTTACATACCAGTACCAAGATATAAATTAAGGAATGTGCACAAACAATACATACTGAAATGATCATACACTATATATGAGTGATATTTCAATTATTTCGACAACTCGATAGTAAGTAAAGAGAGAAGATTTGATTTGAGGGAAATCACGAGAGGCGAATGGGGCAGGATCAGAAGAATTTGTTGAGACTAGACTGAAGGACCTGATTGACGAGTACTCTATAGCACCTCTCTGTGGGATGGTAGCTGTCCCAGAATACATACACGGAGTCATTTGGACATGGGTCAGTCAATTTGTTACACAGTATGCTCACCTCTAAATTCCCTGTCCCACAACACCCTTTATCCGCAACAGAAAACCCTGAAATATTTGAAAAATAAAACAACACTAGTTGGGATTTCGAAACAAAAAAACATTACTAGATTAAACCAGGCATGATATATACTTCTGTTGTGTGGTTTCTTATTGGTTTGTCTTGAATTTAATTTGAATTGCACTTATAGTGTTAGTTGGATCCTTATATATAATGGGTTATTGTGGGGTTTCAAGATTTCATGGTCTTCAGAGAATTTGTAAACAGGTTGTAATAAGAGAGCCACCTCATTATATTCTCCACTTGCATAGTGAGATTCGTCTACCATTCTTGGATTGTGGAAGCTTTATAGCCAAATAAATTCTTGTGTGCATTTGTGTTTATATTAACTAGATACAAAGGCATGGATTTCGCTTGCATATTTATCTTACCATTAGACACAAAGACAGTAGAATCCACATTAACACAAACATTTTAGAGAGAAAGCAGCAGATAGTATATGGGGATTACCATATTTGTCATGATTTAGAATGATATTAAGCAGAGAATTGTAAATATCAATGTAGACAATCCTGGCTTTAGGGTCATTGAGACTATTGTTGTAGGAAGTAATAGCAGAAGAGAGCTTGGAGTTCATCAACTGAGCAGCCTGGTTGTATATCTCAGAACACACTCTCAATTCTCCCCCTGCTAGTGTTCTCTGTGACGGCAAGCATCCTATTGGTGCTGCCCCGAATAAACCAATCTTTTTCGCCCCCAGTAGATAAAGTTCCTTTATAAAAAAAAATCACAACTTTAAATTCTCAATTTTCATGCTTTTGATTATCATTAGCAATAAAGGGTGTGTGAGTACGAATAAAGATACTTAAAACTATAAATAACACATCTTATAAGTTGTAACCAAAAGATGAATGTACTTAAGGTCATGAAAATGTTTGATTACCAACTTCTCTAAAAAAGAAAAGAAAATAAGAAGAGGAAATACCTTAACAAAATCCAAAGCATACTTGACGACAAGATCAGTGTAAGAATTAATATCGTACTGCAATTTTCTGATGCCAGCTGTAAAGTATGTGTTGGTAAGGTCATCGCTCCCAGCCAAAACTAAATAAAAACTGTTACTCAATATGAAGTTTGTTCTCTCTTCTCCAACCATCCCTTTCACCTTCCCAATGTATTCTTTGAACAAATGTAGTTGATCCGACATTGATAGAACTGACTAATTTTAATTAAGAACCAAAAATAAATTAATATATGAATGATAAAACATAGAATATATATATATATATAATATAAAGTATATATACCGCTAGCTGGGCTGTTTGAGGGTCAAAACCAGAGGCTCCTGAACCAAAGCTTACACCAGTGAGAAGCTCACTAGGCTGCAAATGTGGATCTAGATATGCCGGTACATACTCTTTAATTCCTAATTGTTCAGCTGAAAAAAATAAAATAAAAAGGAAAATTTGAGTTATTACATTCAGATGGGGGGTGGGGGGGAATTTGAGTTATTACATACTGATAAGTTGTTAGGAGGTTGATAAAAGAACCGTAGTTGCTTTACAAACTCAAAACCTGATCCTCAAGCCTTTTCACTGTCTCAATGAACAACTATATGAACCAACTAGGCAACTACCCGCCTTATTTAGAAATTCATAATCATGAGTTTTTACTTGGTATTAAATTTCTTAACCAAGAGTAAAAATTTTAAAATGTGAAAATACAATACTCTTTTCTGAGGGGAGAAAATAGAGAAAATTATTATTCAGGGTAATTTTTAAAAAATATTACATATTAATAAAAAAAAATTATGATATTAATTATTAATATTTATAATATCTTTTTTTGTTTTTGTAAATATTTTTTACTGACATCATGCCAGGTAATTCTCCAAAAAAACAAAAAAAATCGTTTCCTTTTGGGATCTAAGAAACGGATTGAGTTCCAAGGCCCAAAGTGCTGGTTTTGGGCTTCGAAGCCCAGACCATTTGGGCTTTGATGATTTAGTTATTTTTTTGCGGTCTGAATGCTTCAAATCCCTCTAGTTCTTAAGAAGTTTTTTTTTTTTTTTCCAATTTGTCACAATGCAGTGATACGAGATGTGACTTTTGGGATATAATCTAAAGAAGTCTTTATTTTTTTTTGAACTTTTTGATTTTTTTTTCCTCTAATGATTTTTGTTTTCAAAATTGTATATATTTTTTAATTTTCTCCAAACAATTTTTTTTGTTGTAAAATTTCAAAAATAATAATAATTTATAGAGTATCGATATTCAAGAAAAAAAATTCGACACACTTTTCAAATTCAATGATATGTCAATCAATTAAGATATCTAAGGTTATTTTCTTTCATATTTTTCCTAATTATCAACCAATTATTCATTATACGTCATTAGATCTAGAATATGCGTCTAAAAAATAAATTTGTATATCATTTTTCCAATTTAAAATGCCAAAATAAGCTCAAAAAATTTCCTATTTGGACATTTTTTTGACTTTTTAATTTTTCAATTCATCTCATCAAGTAAAATTTAAGAATCTAATTTTTTATTTTTTAATTTAAAAAAAAATTACAAAAGACGAGAACAAGCAAACATAAAACTCACCACCAAACAGAGGTAAAAATAAAAAAAAATAAAAATAGACATTATAATAATCAAATACAAATAAAAAATTATATAAAATGATATGAGTGACCTTTTATTTTAAACAAAATATACACGAAGCTTACTTTTATTTATAAAATTGATATTACCACGTAATTCTTTGTTATGATATGTATATATTTCCTGTATGATTTTTTTATTTTTTATATTTTTTTATTATCCAAAATATTGTTTAAGCGAAACTAAATAATATCATTAATAACTAATGAGGTTAGTCTAATTGGCCAGAACTCCTGTACCTCACTAGGAGATCAGTGGTTCGAATTTTCTTACCTATGTGTAGGTCTTATTCCCCATGTATTAATTGGGACTTTCTTTGTAAAAATTGTGTATTGTATTTTATCTTCATTATTATGATTAGATTTTATTATAATATCATATATAAATCAAATCTTTAAATAATAATAATAATATCATTAATAAATTATTGAGATTTTTGGCCATAACTCCTCCTAGAACCCATTTTTCTTGGAAATGACAAATTCTAATTTTTTGGCTCATAAATATTTCCAAAATAAATAAATCTTGTAAGACGGGAAAAAAAATTTCAATTTGTATTTTGTGTGACAAATTTGCTATCTTTCTTCTCTTTATCTCCCTTAGTCTGTCTCAACTTGCTCTTTCTCTCTCTCAGCTCTTCTCTATATCTGTTTCTAAGACCACCACCACCACTTTCTACTATCACCACCACCACTATTTCCACTATATCTATTGTCTCTACTACCACCGTCTCAACCACTGGCGTCGTTTGTCACCACCGCCACCACCACCATCACCATCATCTCAACCACCTACGCTATTCAATGCCACTATACCACCAACAACCACCATTGTCATCCTTCACCTCCAAGACCTCAGATCTGATATTAACAACCTCAGATCTGAGATCTATCATAGATCTATCATCTCAGATCTATATTCTTTCTGTCTCTTTCTCTTTGTTTCCTCATGATATTCTATTTTTCAAATAGTAAAATTTTACTCTATTTGAACCAGATCTGAATATGTGCTCTCTCTTTTTCTCTCTATATGTATATATATGTTTTTATTTTAGTGTATTTTTTTTTTTGTCATTATCAGTTTGAATATTAATTTTGAGATTTCAAACAAAAATGTTATTTTAGTATGTTCAATAGTGAAATAGTAAAATTTTACTAATAACGTTATTAATTCAATGTTCTAACAGATTTCTCATTTAATAGTTATATGAATAATGGTAATAATTATAATAAGTGTGGTGGTTAGTGATAACAATGGCAAAAATTCACTATTTATATGTTTAAAGTAAACAGCAAAATTTTACTGTCATCGAAAAATCTTGCCAGCAATCTTTCGCTGGTAACCGAAAAATTGTTGCCGGCCAATATGATCAACAGTGGTCGACGGTGGTCGGTGATGGTAGACAATGGTCGGTGGTGATGGTGGTAGTGGCTGTGATAATGTAAAAAAGTAATAGAAGTTGATAGTATTGTTGTCATATTTTTTAAATATTTTGAATTACGTCCTTAATAAATTAAATGTTTTAGCTTGATCATTTGGCAATAAAGTTCAAAATTAAGAGACTTGTTACCAAAGACTCCTAAATTATTCAAAATTGCCGTTATTATCTTCCACAATCTCAACACAATGCCCTCATCGAAACGATTATAAATTACATTGAATCACGTTATCAATTAGTCTCGGAGTATGGACCTTTGATATTTCACGGTACTATGATTGACGAAGAAGATAAGTAAATGAGATATTATATTAGATGATTGAGAAATATAAGAGACATGATCGATGATAATTGATTAAAAAATATAGACACATGATACGCCAGAATTATTCTAAAATTTTCCCTCACAATAGAAGTGTACACATGTGGGGCTGCTACTAGAATTGCCCTATACATTTAAAACAACATTCTGTCAAACTAGGTCCGATGGTGTGACCTAAATTAAGCTTTCAAGTCCGTCCAAAAAAAATATTTACATATATAATTTATTAGTTAATAAAAATAAATATATTTATTTCACAATTTAAATTCAAATAATATCAGTAGTTTATTGATATAGGTATTTTCTTATAAGTTCAAGGTTAACAGCTCAAATCTGCAAATCAATTTCCTTGTTTAAAAAAAGGAAAAAAGACAGAGAGAAAAGGACTTCCTTTAATATTAACTTCTAAAACAAGGATAATGCTTTATAAACATAATTACTATCGTACACTCTCAATTGAAGATAAAAAATAAAAATAACAAATTGAAAAAGTTTGACAGAGATTAATTATTGTTTTCTAATGGGTTTTCTTTAGTTGTTTTTTCTTTCTCATTCTTGGGGGGGAAAAAAAAAAGTTTCAAAATTATTTTCACTAAAGTAATGAAGACATCTAAGAATGAAGCCATTCATGATTAGCAAATTAAGGATATCCAAAGGAGAAAAAAGTCTAGGAACATGTAAATCACTCACGTAATCAAATACAATATTTTAACATAACGTGAGTCCAATCTATACATCTCGTTCTGTAATTAATTTTTGTACAAATAGAACAACTGTAACCAAACTGAGGAGATAGACCGAGCCATCAGGAACAGAGAGAGAATGAGAGAAGGGAATACCTATGAGGTCTGCAGGGGTTTTGCCATTGCCAAACCTGCCAGTAGGTCCACCCACAAAATCCTTCCCATAAGGTGGGAAATTGCACTTAGCTATTGTTTCGATAACGTTGTTGTTTCCTTGATCCACTATTGAATCCCCAAACGCTATCACCGCTGGAACTGTCGCATTCTTAGGCAGATTCACCACTGCTTCACTGCTTCTGCAAATCATTACCAAAACACACAACACAAAAGCATTTGCAAAAGAAGAAGCGAGCAAAGAATATTGAGAAAAGACTCGTTCCATGACGGAAAACAGCATTGTGTATATATTTTGAGCTTGAATGAATAAAGGAATGAACTTAACAAGTTAATATTTGTAAAATGCACTCATGCATGTATTGTATAGTTTTCCTTTCAGTTTATATAGATGAGATATATCTAGCTTTTTTTCTCATTTAATTTAGACAACAGTGATGAATGGTGCAGTGTCGCTGTTACTTGGTAAAGTTAAGGTATTAACTAAATTTTATGAATTTCCATACCCAAATGTGCCCAAAGATGTGGTAGTCCCTAATCCTACCAAGCAACCGAGCTATAAACCCAAGCGGCCTTGAAAGGACACGTAAACAAATACCGTACATGAGCGTGGACTCACACTATATGAGTTTCATGGATTCCACTCCCATGTAAGACATTTGATAAAATTTGTAAGATTTTTCTTGCATTTTTCAAATTAAATTAGGGACACAACAATAAATCTCACTTATATTTATTATTGCAGGTGTAATAAATTTGTTTAGGTGTAATATTGCTTTTAAATAACGATAATATTTTTAGTGGATGGGTTGAATTAATTTCTCACACAAATTGATTTCCTTTTTCTTTCTCTTGCCTTTTTTGAAAAAGCCCCATGTAACATGCAATCCTCCCTCGTATTAGCGTGTCATGATATATATATATATATATATACATCCCACCCACCAAGCTATTCTTTTTAAGGGTTAACTTGGTTTTAGACATATATATACAGATCATATTGTATCTAGTAATGCCAGTGGTGTCATTGACTTGTGCTAATACCCTTTCGAGTTCCGGGCCTGAATAAGTCTCTAGGTTCGTGGACCCGAACCCTTTCGAGGCTTACAGCGATTCAATCCGTTTGATGGCGATAAATCTGGGCCTACCGATTCTTGGACTTGCGATAAATTCGGGCCCACTAATCTTGGGCTATTGGACCTAAATAATTTAGTGGGCTCAAATTAGCCCCTCTTACAGACATATATATACAGATCATATTGTATCTAGTAATGCCATTGGTGTCATTGACTTGTGGTTTTGGAAACCAGATTTTTGCCTTAGCAAATAATTCTTTATAAATGGCATAAATTATATCTGCAAAATATTTGACTAATGGCATGTGCACATAGACGAGTGTGCAAAAGCAATGTAATTTATGATTGAAGAAAATGAATAAAAGTCATTCATTAATAAAAGCCGTTTATGTTGGTAGAATTTTAAATATCTAAATCAATTTGGTTTTTTCATTTGAGCAGTTTTTAACTTTTAGACTGGTCGATTGTGGTGAACATTATTATAAAAATGAAGGGCCTTGACAATGCTTTTGGGATACAATACAAGAAGAAAAAAAAATGAAAATAATATGAGACATTTTTTACAAATCACAAAACTGTTTTTACATTTTGGTAAATTATTGTTTCGTTTTAGTTCTCATGAATTTTGATTTCACTCGGATCTTAAACTACAAAAATTTCAAAATTCTTGAAACCAAAATATTAAATGAAATTGAACGTTTAAAACAAAAAATTATTCAGTACCATCAGGCTCCCAAATATCACAATCCTATGAAATAACTTCTCCTTTAAAAGAGTAATGCATGGGTAATATTTTGTAGGACAATCTTCACTGTATTTAAATAAATTAAATTCTGTTGTATACTAAATAACAACCAGAATAAAAAGAAATAAAGGAAATGAGAGAATTTATTTGATTACAAAAATCAAACTCGAAATAAAAAAATAAAAAATAAAAACAGATTTTATTTTGTTACAAAAACAAAATTAAAATTTTATTTAAATAAATAATAATAACACTGAAAATAAATTAAATAACTTACTTGATTTAATTTGTTCGAATTATAATCTGATCAAGTCCAGTGTTTGACATTGTGTCCTTAAGACAGATTCGTCCTCTCCACGGTGCTTTCAGAATTTCGACGTCTATCTCCCAAGATGAAATGATTTACTACAAACAATAGTAGCACTATAAATTGTTTGCCTTACGAACACACTAAGTGTTTACACTCTTTTTTTCAGAAAATAAATGCAGCAAAATGCAGAGATTTATAACAGAGGATGGAGTACGAAAATTTGAGTGAAATCCAAATGGGAGGCTAGTCTATTTATAAATGTAAAGGTGTCTATTGATTTTGAATTGACCAGGTATGAAACCTGTTGGTTTTGAATTCAAACAGATTTGAATCTGTTGGGTTCATAATATAAACAAATACAAAAACGGGAAGAGCCCTGTTTGGATGTACGTTAAAAACCAGGCTAGTTTATTTCGGGAAGGGCCCAAAATAAAATTAAATTCAAATGTTTTTGGCCTAGAAAGATTAGTATTGGGCCGAACAAGCCCAACCCAACCTCACACCCAGCCCGACGACAGTGGCGCACGCGTGTAGTGATTTTTGGGTCCAATAGGTCTAGCCCATAACCTCTCCCTCTAAAATACTTGGGTACCTCTTGGGGCACACCTCAAGTACCAAACCCAAGCCTTATAAACCCATTCAAAACTTCTCACCAAATCAATGTGGAACAAGCCATTTTACAACCTTAAGGAATTTCCTTCAAAACTCCATTTCCATGAAGAATACTTTGGCTTCAATTTCTCATTCACTCGGTAATGGTTTTGAGCAACTAAATATACCACGTGAATCACAACGCGGCATAGAACGCGTTACCACTTTGACCCGTGAAAATCGACGCACGGGACCTACCTAAAAAATAGACTAAACTTAGAAAAAAATTCTGATTTTACCCAAAATTTTATAACCATTTCCAACATATTTTGACAAAGAATTCCTACATATCAATAGAAGGTTAGGAGTTTGATGTGCAAAACTTGAAGTCCTCCAAATTATTTACATAATAAAAATAACACAGATTTTGCTTCTAAATATAATACACCTTATTTTATGGAAAGGATGAAGCTAAATTTGGACACTTTCTGACAGTAATATATATATATATATATATATTCTTATAATTGCTATTATTTTCGTCTTGAAATTGAGGTTTAATGTTGGGTGATATACAAACAAAATATGTTGTCACGTGGAGTTGGTAGAGAGTTGGTTCAGAAATGTTCATCTTGGGCAAAAGATTACCAATTCATGCAGGTTGGTGGGCAACCTCTCTCATATGGCAATTTACATTAATGGAAATTTCATTTTCGGGATATATTAATTAATTAATTAATGTTTTTAAGATTAATATAATTATACAAAACATGATTTTGTTCATTACTTTGACCTCTTTTGACAGTTTATTGTCTTTTTTATTTTTTTTTTTAATCATATCACCTCTCTACTTTTTACATGTTTTTTTCAAAAAAAAAAAAAATCAAAATATCCACTTTTTACCTACTTTGCAAAATAGACATTTGTTGAGTAAAGAACCTAAACAAAAATAATAAAAAAAACTAATCCATTTTTTTTCGTCACGCTAATTCTTACATTTTACTTGCTCATTTGGTTGTATTTTCCAAGGTTGAAATCTAGCATGGATTTTGCAGTTGTGCTTTTCTAAATCTCTCTCCTTGGGTATCTTGCATGATTTATCAACTTGATAAATTATATATATTTATATATATTTGGTTGTAATTTTCAAGATTGGGATGTAGCATGGACTTTTTTTTAGGGTGAATTGTACTAACCGTCTCTATAATTTGCGGGTTCATATCACTTTAATTTTTGATTTTTTAATTGTGACATATTTGACCTTAAATTTTGAATTTTGTTTCAAATAAGGACAATTGAAAATACCATTACTCACTTTCAAGGACAAAATCGTCAATTTGATAAAATAAAAACTAATTTGATAAAAATAAATGTCAAAAAAATATTTTTGAATTTTTAAAAATAATTTTTACCCACCAAAAATAAAATTATATAAAATTGATAAATCTTTTAGACATTTATTTATTTATTTATTTTACTAAATTAATTTTTATTATGTATTTAAATGATGATCATGTAATGAGTGGTTGGTAAGCTTTTAATGTGTAATCGATATTTTAATCTATGAAATATTTTTAGTTTTGGATTTTTTTAATTTAATGGATTAGTTTAATAATGATATTAAAGTTGTTGTCATATTTGACTTTTAAAAAAATAGAAACTAATTTAATGAAAATAAAAACAACCATCAATTACATGATTATCATCTAAACACATAATAAAAATTAATTTGGTAAAAAATAAATAAATATCTAGAAAATTTATCAATTTTACATAATTTTATCTTTAGTGGGCAAAAATAATTTTTAAAAATTTAAAAGTATTTTTTGACATTTATTTTAGTCAAATTAGTTTATATTTTTATCAAATTGATGACTTTGCCGTTGAAATTGAGAAGTTGTATCTTCAATTGTCCTTATTTAGAACAAAATTCAAAATTCAGAGTCAAATATATCACAATTGAAAAGTTAGAAATCAAAATGACACAAAACTCAAACTATAGAGACCGTTAGTGTAATTCGTCTTTTTTTATTATTTATTATTCTTGTGGTTGCAATTTTGTTCATGATAATTTTATATTGTCATTTCTTTTTATATTTTATTCTAGTTATCCATATGTGTGTCTACATATAGCGGCATTAATTTCAATTATTTTAATCTTACTAAAAATAATATGATAACTTATAGAATTTTTTATATTTTTTCAACTTTAGAAATGATTAATATAAGTTACCCTACATTTAAATTCCATTTTTTTTGGTTAGTAAATAGGAACTTTTAAAATATAAGAAAAACGTGACATGGATTTTAGCCTCATTTAATAACATGGATTTTGGCCTCATTAAGATAGTAAAAAGTTAATTTTTGACGGTAAAAAGTTTTTAAAATCAAGCTGTCAAACCATCCCTCAGCTGTGCTTTGGTCTCTATGGAAGCTGCGAAATGAGTGTATTTTTCAGGCTGCTAATCCTCACCTGGAGGACCTATGCGAGTTGGTTAAAATCAGAGTTGCACTGTGGTTGAACCAGAGTTTCAAGTCCTTCAACTTCACTGTCCAGGACTTCCTGTCCAATTTAAGACAAATCAGGTACTGTTTGGGGAGTAAATCTGTCCTATGTGGCTAATTTAGATATCAGTTTCCTGGAGGGCT